ATTAAATTGAATGAATTGTTCCTTAGCATGAGGGGAACCTCTGATAAAAATGTATTAAAATCCATCCATAACTTTTCATGTTATTCTGTACACAGAGAGACAGAAAGACGAATACAAATTCTCATTAAAAAAAAAACTCCTTTGTGGAAGCCAAAAAAAAAGTTAATTAAGTTAATGTAACTATTCTTTACCTTCCTCCCCCGCTATGACTCTTTCTCCTTTAACACCGTTTTTAATCTTCCCACAGTTTCGTGCTCTGGCACCGATGTACTACAGAGGTTCAGCAGCAGCCATTATTGTCTATGACATCACAAAAGAGGTGATTTGAACTACTTATTCTGGACTACTTACATTTTTGCAGGTATTCAATAATGTTCAGAGGCAATAGAAAGTATTTGTAAGAACATCCTCCTGCAAATCACAACAGTTTGTACCATAAAGTACCAATCTGGTTCTTGCTAATAGAAAATTATGCTTCTCTGTTCCATGAAGTTGTCATTGGAGATGTGCTTGCCTATGCATTGATCCTTTTACTCTAACATGTTTCTTGTCTCATCAGGAGTCCTTCCAAACTCTGAAGAACTGGGTGAAGGAGCTTCGCCAGCACGGCCCTCCTAATATAGTGGTTGCCATTGCTGGCAATAAATGTGACCTTTCAGACGCCAGGTGAACCATTGCTTGCATTTATAGTTATTGTCTTGGTAATAATGCCTTTAACTGATTTGTATTATTCCCAATTTACCTCAACAAATAAAGCCAGGTGATGGTCTTTTTGGAAGATTACTGGAAATGTCTTTATGTTTTCTTCCAAATGATTGAAAAGGAATCTTGTCAATATTTGTTTTACTGTTATCTTCTCAAGCATTTCTAAGCACTCCCATATCACTGTTAAATGGTGAAATCTTCCACAGGTTATCAGTAGAAAATAAACATTTGATGGTTATTGAGAGATCCAGTTTTACATGTTTCTAAATATTGTATTTAAGATGTCTTTTATATTTACAGAGAAGTGCCAGAAAAGGATGCCAAGGACTTTGCTGATTCCATTCACGCAATCTTTGTGGAAACCAGCGCCAAGCACGCCATAAACATCAACGAGGTCTTTGTAGAGATAAGTGAGTCTGCTTCTTTAGTATCATGGATGGATGGATGGATGGATGGATGGATGGATGGATGGATGGATGGATG